GCAAAATATGTAAAAAATTTTGTAGTGGGCTTTTGACTGTGGCCTGAGTTACAAAGGTTTTAATTAATTGGCCCAAATTCAAAATAGCAAATTTTGGTATTTGCTATTATATGCTAACATTTTCATATTTCCCCATATATGGTCAAATTATATATCTTTAGAAAGCTGTTTGAATGCTGATTAATATAAGAACCATGATCATAAAATCAACAGAATTTGTGTTATTTGTGGTTAATTGTTGACCAATTTGGTGGAAAATAACCTTATTTTTGGTTTTGTTTACATTTTTATTATACAACAAGTAGATTTTTATATGAAAAAGTGACATAATGAAAATTAATTATTTAAAAATGTGTCATGAATTAATGAAAATATGCAACAAATTATGTTAATGGCTAACAAATTTTTATTGACATGGTACACTAATGGCACAAAACAATCAAATTTTCAATATTTTTATACATATTTAATGAGTTTTGATCTGAAAAGTGAAACATTAAAATGAATATTTAAAAAAATATTTGTAACATTTACAAAGTGATTAACAAGCAAACTTATTTTTCTTTTTGGAATACATGCTTAAATAGAAAATAAAAATTTTGTAACTTTTGATCATAAAACAATTTCTGTGCAATTGAGCTTTTTCTCCGGATGGACAGACTTCCTCTTCATGAACCTGTAGCACCTATTTGGAGAGGCTTTGCAAGTTTCCTCAGGGTATTTTTTCATCTTTTTCAGACAACAACCTTATGACAAGTCCAGCAGCCTGCATTTCTGCAATTTCCTCCACTAATTCTTTTTCCCATTTGAGTATACTTGGCCTCTTTTCCTCTACCGGGGGCTCTTGAAGAAGGTTTTGCAGCCACAATTTTTTCCTTGTTTTTTCTCCATAATCTTGTATTTGCTTCCACAGCAATAACTTTTCTCTTGAATTCACTGGGTTAACTTGTTCTTCTTGAACTCATTTTTAATCAGGGTTGTTGTAGAGTAAGAATAAGGTCTGTTCTCGAGAGAGAATGTAGTGAACTGCTGGTTATTTAGCTTATAAACACATTTTCTCTTTCCACCAAAATAAACGTTCTTATTCCAATAGTCTCGGCCAATCAGAGCATATCATGCAGAAGCAACATGGTGGTGCCCATAGTTCGTCACATAGCTGTAAGTTTTTCACAAAAAATGGTTTTAAACGTAGAATAATATTCTAATTCAGTTTTATGATAATTCGTATTTTATTTTACATTTGTAAGTATTGTTAGGTACATATGACTGTATTTGACACCTTTATGGGGTTGCAATTACCGGATGTTAGTGCTAAATTGTTGTATGTTTGTGGTGAGTAGTCATTTCCCAACCGAAATCAACTCATGAAACGGAAATTTTTTAAGACTTTTTTGTAGTTGTGCACAATACGCATCCCTAATTTCACTTATTATTTTTTAGAAAAAAAATGCATATCATACATGGGGAATTATGGGATGTAGTTTTGAGTTCCTGTAGTGTAATTGTTGAGGCATTTTTAATCTATTTTCTAAGATTTCTGCTTCATTTGTCCATTCATTTGTTGAGGAATACAAAATATTTATGTCTGAAATATTTTTTTTTACATAATCAAACAACTGTCTTGGTGTCATTATTTGTTCATTATAGGGTTGCTGCAGGCTTGTTTTGCTGCTAATCTCTTAAGAGTGCCACCTTACCCATCATATGGTCATTTTCCATGAGATGTAGCAAAAAAGTGCCACTCTACCACTCAATACCAAAATCAGCCTTATGGTTGCACAAATTGATAAAATTTTTATAATGTGAAGTAGCACTGTCAGAGAAATAGATCAGATTTTTTATTTCAAAATTAAGATTTTTTTTTCATGCTTGAGATAATCTGATATAATTTCAATATTAATATGCTCCAGCTCTTCATCATTTCTATAATAACAGACAAATGGTTGTAATGTAGCTTGAGAATCATTCCAGTGGAAGCTCTGTGAAGCATCCTGCAAAATAAATTAATAATTCTCAGCAAAATCTGCAATAATTATGACTTCAACATCCATCAAAGAACTTTTCTTATTAGAACAAAATTTTGATTGTTCTTTGGTAATGAAATCATGCTTTTTGAAGGTTTGAAGGTCTCCACAAAAAGTTTCAATAAATTCTGTAGATTGTGATACAATTTGCAGTGTGGTTCTATCAGTTGATAGCTACTGTTTGTAAATAAAATGTACTAAATTTTATAATAATCTCATATATATATATATATATATATATATATATATATATATATATATATATATATAATAAAAAATCTCCATCAAATTGCTACAAGTTGAGCAGTTACCCAAGTAGTAGAGGTTGCTTCATTACATGTAACAGCAGCTATGTATTGATGGTAATCTGTTAAATCTTGAGACAGTGGACCAATATGAGCCCTCACAATAATCAGTCATATTTTGATGTATTGTATAAACAGAGACATGGTGTGTTCCAGCACCAGCTGCCAGGATACATTCTTTTGGTCAGAGCTCAGCAAATTTTGGAAAACTAATTGTTTTTTTATTTAAATAATTGTTATGCCTCTTTCAGGTTACAGAATACAAGATACTTTTGTTTCTTCACTCTTCTACCATTCTTTACGACTGTCTTATAGCCATTTTTTCAGGCATAACTTTGCTGATTTCTTCACTCTTATCAAACAACACAACTTCAACTGTCTCTTGTAGGAATCTACATTTTCATATATTTGGTAGAGATAATATTCCTTGTTCATTTACAATTTTTTTGGCTTGTCTTGCCATGTATATTGTGGTGCCAAAATTTTTACTTTTTAGACCTCTTTTCACAAGCTGAAAACTTTTCTTTTACTTGTGTAATAATTTCACTTTCATCAATCTTTTGTGTTCTTCTATACTTGGTAGATCCTTGAGGAGAAATTTTAGTTGAAATCAATTTAATTTTCTTTGATACTGCTCCTTCACTCTTTCCTACTTTTTATTCCTCATAACAGGTTTTCTTATCAAGTTTTTCACACTTGATTGGTGATCCCCCACTGACAGTGACTTATTTATTTGTGTATCTACAAAAATACTATAAGGCTGTGAATGGTTTTCAACTGATATTGAAGTACTTTCAGAAAACTCAAGTAATGTTAATTTTATTCGACAATGAGTTTGCTTGTTAATCTCTTTGTAAATTCTAAGAAGATTTTTTTTAAATATTCATTTCAATGTTTCACTTTTTCAGATCAAAACTTAATTTATTAAATATGTATAAAAATACTGAAAATTTGATTTGGTTTTAAACGTAGAATAATATTCAATAAAAACTTGTTAGCCATTTAGTTGCATATTTTCATTAATTCATGACACTTTTTTAAATAATTAATTTTCATTGTCACATTTTCATAGGAATCTACTACTTGTATAATAAAAATGTAAGCAAAATCAAAAATAAGTTTATTTTCCACCAAATTGGTCAAAAATTAAGCACAAATAACACAATAATACCAATTTCTTGATTATTACACTGTTGGGATACTAAAACTTTTTTTTCGTAAATGGCAGTAGAGCATTACTGGTGTCGACCTATGACATCACACGCTGCCGTGCGCAAGTAAACGTTATTTCTTGATGTTTTAAGCAAAAAAAGCAAGCATTACATTTTTTTTTTTTTTTTTACAAAATCCACCTGAAACTTACAAATTTACTTTTATCAAGGATAAATATTGAATTTTTAAATAGTTTTAAATGCGTTTTTGTTTTTAAAATTTTTAAATCAAATTTTGGCGGTATCTAATTAAATAAATTTTAACATTATTAATTAAAAAACTGAACAATTTGAAATGTAAGTTTCTTTAACATTAAGAAGTTTTACACTGTGTTTATGTACAGATCATTTCGACAAAGCTGTTCTTATTGAGTAAATGATCATTATGAGACGTGAGACATGACTTTTTTGCTTTTAACGACCATCTCAAAGACACGAGAGTAGTAAACTTTTAGAATACAAATTCATTAAGGTAATTGAGATTTGTAAAGTTTTTTTTTGTTTTTTTTACAGTATTGAGTACACTTACACAATTTTTAACAACACAGAATAATGCTTTCTAAATTAAGATTTTTCCCTTGTTAGAGCATTTAACTCACAAGCAAAACAAATTCCTAGCTCATGGTGAAAATTTTAAATTACTGAATTCATGTGTTAATTTTAGACAATAATTCCCGCCCGCCTCGTCCAAGCTGGGTAATAGTTGGCATTTTCTATTAAAAACATTGAAATGTGTAGTTATGCGCAAAAATGGCGGCTCAAAAATAACTGACAATTTGTATTACTAAATGAATATTGAATTGAAAGTGTATTTAAAAAAATAATCATGTCAGGTAGAATGTAGAGAAGATATGCAAAACAAAACTAGTGTCTGTAAGTAACATTCAGTGAATTTTTAATTTATAATTTAATCGAGATTGACGCGGGAATAAATAAAATTTCTACGATTTAATTTTGCATTTTAAAAACAATTCAACTGCAATTTTCAATGATTACATTCCAATCACCATGGTTAGCAACATTCAAGGGTAAAAAACGTGCATATATGAATGAATGTGATGAAATCAACTTAGTGCTTTTAAGTTAAATGGTGAATGTTTCTCACAGAAAATAATTTTTTGAACATGTTAAAAAAAATGAATACATGCATTTTTTAGACTAAAATAAAAAAAAAAATCAATTGCTGTAGGTTAAATTTTTTAACCAAACGAAAACAAAGCATAAAAAAGTCAGCTAGATAATTTTTACCTTTCCGCTTAGAGCGGCTTTATTTGTATTTATTTTTGACATATTTTTAAACAAAGCAATAAGAACCATCATGCATTTTTTTAATTAAACTTTATCACTAGCAGCCATTAAAGTTGGCAAATTAGAAAATATAATCTCAAAAAATAAAATGAAATAAAAATAAAGTGAAAAACTGCGGCCTTTTGCAGCATAATTTTATTGTTTATACTTACCTATTCTTTCTTTTGGCTTTATACACATGTCCGTACGTTCCCCTCCCAACTTTACACCCTTCATAGTCGAATAAATCTTCAACTTTTGCACGCTCGGCAGCCGTTTTCAT